CACTTGGCCATTTTATACTCCTCATGCTACTGAATCAACTAGCAAAGGAGGAGGTACTAGCTGGTCTTGATTACCAAGGAAAAAAAACCAGGTTGTTGCTATGCAATGGACTATTTTCTAGGGTATGTCCAAAATTAAGAGTTAATGGAGGGCTTCCCTGGTGGCGCAGTGGTTGAGAATCCGCCTGCCAATGCAGGGGACACGGGTTCGTGCCCCGGTCCAGGAAGATCCCACATGCCGCGGAGCGGCTGGGCCCGTGAACCATGGTCGCTGAGCCTGAGCGTCCGGAGCCCGTGCTCCGCAACGGGAGAGGCCACAGCGGTGAGAGGCCCGCGTACCGCAAAAAAAAAAAAAAAAGAGTTAATGGGAAACTACAACCAATTTTTTAAAAAGGATAAGTCCACTGAGGATTCTAACTCTTCAAGAATGAATGTTTGAGATGTCCCATGAAGTAGAGAACCTTGACTATCTGAGGCACTGGCAGAGGGAATATAGAATAAATAGTGGAAGAAACTGGTAAATATCAACCATGGCTTTATGATCAGTAACAGAAACAAGGACAGTAACAGCACACGTGTATGCACACAGACACAGACAAAATTCTATTCTTACAGTTTACACACTGATCCTATCAACGTTACCCTAGCAGTAACAACACCGTAACAATGACACCCACTTTGTTTCAGCATCAACCACTGAAGTTAGCTTCTATTTTCTTTCAATACTTCAAAACAAGCCTCTGCATCCTGTCAGAAATACCAGTATCAGCTGAGCAGGACTTCTTTCTCATGTGTCTGGGGCCAAGTTCCTAAGGCCCTTCCTCTGAGCTCCAAAGTTCTGCTAACTTCAACCTCTCCCAAGCTCTTTCCTTTTTTCCTCCAGTACCAGGAGTAACCTTGTGCCCTTTGATGGTCAATAGAGGCCTCTTCTGGGCAGGTCTGCCCTAGAGCAGGCTTCCTGGAGTGGGTACCATGGATCTGCCCCATACAGTCCCGGCTCTGCCCACCCTTCTCAGCTTTAAGTCTCCTCCTGCCCTAGGCTCCCTTCCTCATCGACCAGCAGAACCCACCCCCATGTGGGCCTGATGGTCCAGTTGTTTCCTGCAGTCATTATTGCTCTTTCAACCTACTATATATCTGTGTAACTCATTCCCTATATGAAATCCCCTCTTTTGTGAAAGAGGTGCTAGTGTGGTGCTTTTTTTCCCTTTACCAAACCCTAACTCTAGAAGATAGTTTAATATTTCTAATCAGAGCACACTCTTTGGTATGTTTCTCAGCCAGAAAGAGGATTTTTTTAAAGCTATCTCTTGAAATTTTTCTTATTAGCTATAATTACTCTATTTCGAGATCAACAAAAATAATGAATTTACATTAGGTTTTTTTACTAGCAATCAAAAAAAAAAGAGAGAGAGAAAAGAGATTACCAGTTAATGAATGATCTTGTCAGTTGTGACTAACGTTCAGTGATATCCAAAGAGTGCAAAGGCATCCAAAACTGTTAACTCAAAAAAAACTTTTTAAGATTTTTCATCTATGAAGACTACCATCCTATAATTTGACCTTCTCACTATTCTTTTTAAGTTAATAATTTAAAAGAAAGAAAAAAAAAGACACTGGGTGGTAAGGCAAACTCTATGGAGAAATCTATTTTAGATCTAAACTTCAATTAAAGGAGTGTTTTTATCCTTGCTCAACTTTCCTCTACAAACCACACAGATCCTTGGAAGACAGTGAACAAAAGCAAAGTAAACAGAAACCCTGCACTTGTTTATTTCAATTTTTAAAAGTCCATCCCATGGTAAAACCTCTAGGTGCAAAAAACATGTGTCTTAAAGATAAATTTGTCTCTAGAAAAAGATCAGATTTTTAAAACGGGTATCTGAAAAGACAATAAATAAAGACTAACTGGCCAAAATGGACATTTTCTAAATCAGAAAACCTCAGCACTTATATATTCTGAAAGCTATTATAATAATGCTCAAGATTTGAAAACAAACCTGTCTTCGCTAGGTTTCCTCAATGAATTAAACAATAGACAAATATACAGTATATCTGTCTGGATCACAAAATAAATGAGTTGACAAATACCACCCACTTAGTCAATGAGTAAAATTACACTATTAATTCATAAAATTTTTATAAAACATAGCATCTACTCTCTACTAATACAAGTAATTCATTAGTGCTCCTTTCTAACAACAGCTTTCTCCAAAAATAATTTTTTAAAAGGCTCTGGACAATATCCTGAATAAATAAAATATTACAAGAAGATGTAGTAAATATACATGTACATACTTGATGTTTGTTTATGACTAAATGAATGGTTTAGATTATGACTGCATATTTTTACACTTTATAAATATGCTATATTAGCAATGTATTGTCTAGTGAAATAAGCCTTGGAAGATGAGACGGAAGACTTGCTTACTGACTCATCAACATCATGCTGTATCATCTGAGCCAAGTCACTTCATGCCTTGTTCTCTCTACCTGTAAAATGCCTTTACTTGCTTATTACAAATAATAACTGTTAAAACAAAGCTGTGGAAGAAAGATGTTATATACGTGTATTAAATTTCAACTTCTTTACCCAAAGGAAAAAATCTTAAAAGTTGTGACATGCCTGGGTTACTGACCTTTAAGAGGACAGAGTGACATAAAAGAAAGAGCATGGCTTTTAAAATGAGAAAATCCAGACTTCACCAACTACTATATTTGTGGCCTTCAGTGAATCTATAAATTCTCTAATCTTGAATTTCCTCACCTATGAAATATGAGCATTTATTTCTTAAGGGTTTTAATGGGCATTAATAAAGAAAACTATATCAAATACCTAGCACAGTGCCTTAAGTATTTAAAAAAGTTAGTTTCTTTGCCTTGAACTTATGGGCATGTTAAAAAAACAAATTCCCACTTTTGAATTCACATAAACATCTGATTTCAAGAAAAGCTATAAAGTGCAGAGATTAGGTTCTTCTCCCTCCAAAAATAATTCATATTAAAAAAAAACAACTCTTTTCGGTAGCTCTTCTCTCTGCTAAGGTATAAACTGACAAATTAAGAGTTAGTTGTTTTCACATACTATAATCAACTTACTACAAATATCAAACACACAAAACAAAGATCCTTTTAAACTGCCTACATATACCATTCCTAGCATTGTGTCTTCCACTTTCAGTGTTAAATCTATGAGAAAGTACAAAGAGCCCTCTTTCCTTTCCTCTGGTCAGTAGACATACAAGAGTAATTTTCAGTTCTGTCAAATCCACAGTGATTTCAAAACTAAAGAACAAAGTTAGTAAGGAAATAGTTGAAAACTATTACTTTCTTTTGTGGACATATGAGTCATTCCTTTAACAAGCAAACAAAACAAACAAAAACCCACTCTGATGAAAGTTAAACCCCAAATATCATAGTAACCTTATTAGAAATCAATTCCGTACTGAATCTCTAGCTATAAAATGTATTAACCAGAAAGTTATCTTCTGTGACAGGAGAGATGGGATGTTTCCAGGGATGAGGGAATTTCTACAGTTCACCCATAGCAAATACTATTAATTGTAAGATATATCCAATTATGTACTCAGAACCTAGCAGCTGAATCCACAAGGGTTTAGCAAGCAAAAATTTTGGCACAAAAAGTGGAATAACATTTACTCAAGAATAAAACTGGAGCCATATTTAGCAGTCTAAAACCTTCTTAACCAAGGAAAAAAATAATCTTGAAGGAAGTTTCTGTAATCATCTGGTTTGCTTTCTAGACAAGGGCTTCAATAGAATTGAATGCTTCTGAACCAAAAAAAAAAAAAAAAAGAAACCCGAACAAACCAACGCAGAAAAATTATTTGGTACAGACTCTGGAAATCAGCCACATTTACTCTGGATGAAATTCTGGCAGTTTTCAAAAAAGAAAAAGTGGAGAATAGGCCTGTTTATCATTGCTTTCACCTAAAAACCATTAATCACTAAGGGTGGTATAGGTACCAAACAGAATTTTTCTTCCTTTCTAAATATACACAGTTTCCTACACAGTACAGCACATTTTGCAGTTCATGGTAAATTTTTTGATGTTTTTGCAACAGCACTTTTCGTCCTTTCCAAAACAACCTCATTCGTAGTTTGCTGTTTCTGTTTGCCTCATCTGCACTTAGCAGATCATGCTTCAGGGACTTAGAAATCCCAGCCACCAAAATTCAAGCCAAAGTTTGAACTGCGGGGGGGGAGGGGGGGACGGCAGGGGGGCGCATATCAAGTAATTAAACCACACTTGTAAGGGAGAATGGTTTTTACCTCCTATGACTTTATAATGTGCTCTTTTAATCCAGAACCAGTCTCCAATTTTAAGAAAAGTTATGAATTTATTTTTAATTTAAGGAATTATTTTGTAACTACTATAGTTCTCTTGGCATCATCTTCCAATTTTACCTTCTGGCAATGACACAAAACCAGGAAGACTATTCCACATGTTAACACTGTATACTTCAGGTAAAACAGCTCAGTGCTCTGGGAAGTTTCATTATTAAGGACTTACTCAAATTGTTGCAAATTAACATAAATTTAATTTAGAAACAAAAGGGAGAAAAAAAAAGAATTTTTTAGTAAGGTTGGAGATAAAGCCTGTATAGTTAGATGATAACCATGCTCTGGAGTTACTGAGGCATGTCTCATTTTCTCACTACTAACAGTTTAAAGGATTCAGTTCCTTCCATCTTATGGATTAGAAGATGACCTTGAAAAGTTTCCTTAAAAATAAAATAAAATCACATTTAAAAGTGGTATCACCCAATCTGAAATAACATTATACAGTTAGACACTGGAGACTTTAGGAAATTAATATGAGTAATAAAAATGTCTGAAAGAAGAATAACTGTATTAATGAACTTATACATCAAATATCATCACAAAGTGCTCTATCAAAAAGTGAAACCAAAAAAATTAACAACTGTCTTTTTTGCTTTGCTAAATTCTCATTTTACTACTAAGTACCTTACAACATACCTTCTCAGAATGCCATTTTCCTGGGGTATTACACCATTGATAGCTGCCTGCAAACAAAAAACAGAGAAGACATTTAAAGAAACAGAAAAATGCTCAGGGGTGGAGTGGAGTGGGGTGGAAAACACTGTAAAGGAAAATAAGTATACTCTGAAAATTTAAACAAAATAATAAGTGTCTCCTTAGTGATAAAAAATATTCTCCATTAAATGTTTTTCTCCCTCTCTATAATAAAACTGTGTTTTAGATAATTTAAAAAACATACATTTGGCATCTAATATCCCCAAACCTTGAGTCATAAAAAGCTTAATTCCACAGTCCTCATTCAAGCAAAACACCCACAAAACCAATGTTTAAGGGTGTTAAAACAAGTAAAATCAGTACCTTAAAGTAATCTTTTAACATTATTTCCTTCCTCAGATTGAGAGGAGCAAGATATAAAATCACAAATGAAAAATGCCAATAAGAATTTTTAAATTAGCTCAGGAATTAAATTCATTGTGTTGTGTTAAAATCATTATTCTTAAAGAAAAGAATACTTAGAAGGAAAAAATGTATCAAAAGGTCTTTGATAAACACAGGACAATTACATCAGGTTACAAAAGGAGCAGGAGCATCCCTGGGGGAGTCTCCTTACATAAAACATTCCTGAAATTGGTCTCTAAGCTAACAAGTCACCAATTACCTAGAACATAGGTAAACACATTTGCCATGATTTGGACATTTTTGAAGGCTACTAAGCAAACAGGCTGTTACATCCTGGATTGTGGGTACGTCATTACAGGGTAATAGAGAAGATTCTCTGGAGGAAAAAAATGACTCTTCCAACTTTGCCTTTGCATCATAACAACTTCTTCCCTCCCCCTTCCCATCCACATCCACATCAAAATGGGAGGAGGGGGGAAGCTAACACTTGGATGTTTTATCAGCTGCGTGGAGATCAACTGCAAAAAGGAGTTTGTGTATTTTGTGAAACATTAGCTTAAATATATGCCAGAGGTAGGTCAAGTTTACAAAGTTATACTGTTGAATGGAAACAACGTAGAGTGTAAGACGCTTGCTATGAATTTTGAAAGTTTTAACACTCCACTGACAAAAATCAAAGAAATCCACAGATTATTAAAGACAGTGGATACCATAGAACCCTGACAACTCTGGAGGCTCATAAATCCTTAGAGTCAAGGAAATGCTAAAATCAGTTTTCAAAGCCACAAATTCAATAGAAGCATCCCTGCCTGGTGCCAGGTCAATTATCCCTTTTCTGTTGACAGCAATGGTTCCACATACAAATATCTTCTTTGTTAAAAAATAGAAAATGGTCAGAGAATATTCTATGATGTTGGAAAAGAAACAAAACACCAGAGTTTGGAAAGATTTTGTTCAAATTTTCACTAGGGAATGCCAAGGTATAATGGAAAAGAACACTAAGAATTTATAAAGTCCAAAATTTGAATCTAGATTCTCCCATTTATTACTTTGATGACCTTAGTATATATTCTATACTCATTGAACCTCCCTGAGCCTCAGTTTTCTCATCTGTATGAGTAAATACTACATTTTCAGCCAAAATGGCCCTGCCTTTTTGTTCCTTAAAGGCATCAAGTTTTTTGTTTATTTCTTAGGGCCTTTTAAGATACTATATCTGCATGGAATGCCCTTTTCCCTATCCTTTGTCTGGCTGAATCTCAATCATCATAATTGATGTTTTTGTTAGATATACTTTTTCCAAAAATTCTTCTCTGATCAACACCCCCCCCAATAGGTTTACTCTCACAAAGAACCCTGTACTTTTTCTTCATAGCAATTGATAATTACTTATTTGGTGATTATTTGTTTTATGTCTGTCTTTCTCACTAGACTGTAGGCTCCATGATGGAAGAGATGATAACAATTTTGTTCACCACTTTATTCCCGCTGCCTGGCACAATGCCAGCACATAAAAGGTACTCAATAATCATTTGCTAAATGAATGATGCTAGAGGAGTACAAAGAAAAGCAGCACAGTGAAGACTTGCTTAAGGCTCACAGAAAGCTTCCTGGATGAAATAATGTCTCAACTAAGACTGAAGGGTAAATGAAAAGTAGCAAGATGGGGAAGGGGGCAATACTATTCAGAAGGTACCATGACACACCTCCACTTTCTTTTTTAAATATTTATTTATTTATTTATTTATTTATTTTGGCTGTGCCATGTCTTAGTTGCGGCATGCAGACGCTTAGTTGTGGACTCCTTAGTTGCAGCACGTGCACTCTTAGTTGCGGCATGCATGCGGGATCTAGTTCCCCGACCAGGGCTCGAACCCGGGCCCCCTGCATTAGGAGCACATAGTCTTACCCACTGGACCACCAGGGAAGTCCCCACGCCTTCACTTTCAACCCTTTTCCTCTTCTAAGATCTTATATTATTTTAAATAATGTATTTGCTTTTGGATAGAATGTTAATCCCTGACCTCAACCTTATGTACATAATAAACTCTGTACATAAATAAGTAAAATGTAATTCAGAATGAAGATACAATAAAAGTATGATTTGCTAAAGAAATATAGGATAGGGAGAGTGCTTTTTGACTGTGAGGATTAAGGAAAGTTTCAGAAAAGGGACAGCATTTGATATGGACACTGAATAATAGGTAGATGTAGAAGCAAAGGAAAATTTCAGATGAATTCGACTTTGAACAATGTTAACTTTGAGGTAATAGTAGGATATCATTTGTTGACTTCACAAATATGTACTGCAGTTGACCCTTTTGACCCTTGAACTACACAGGTTTGAACCGCACACAGGTCCACTAATACTCGGTTTGTTGTTGTTGTTTTCAATAAATACATTCGACAGTACTACACAATCCACAGTTAGCTAAATCCGAGGATGCAGAACCACTCGGAGACTTGAGCTTGAGCATCTGTGGATTTTGGTATCCCCAGGGACACCTGGAAGAGATCCCTCATGGATACCGAGGAATGACTGTAAGTGCCAACTATGTACCAAATATACTAATGGACATAACATAGCATGTCTTCTAGCACGGAAAAAAATCCATTCAACAATTAATTTTACTATGAGAAGTTCAGGTAATATCCAAAAGGAGACAAAAAAGTAATTTTAAAAATCAGAGCTAGATTAAGTAAAACACCTGCTTATTTGAAGCCCTAGGAATACTTTAATTCTCTCCCTCCTTTACTCTCTGGTGAAGAAAAGTGAGACAAAGAATCTTGGGGAATTCATATATGTAAAAAAAAGAGAAGAGAAAGCTAAAAACAAAACAAAACAACAAAAATGGAAGGGTTAGATAGGAGGGGAAGGACCAGGAATATGTCACAGAGAGGCAGTGAAAGTACTATAAGGAGGGATTAGACAAAATAAAAAATGTGAAAATAGTCTAATATAATGAGGCCTAAGAAGAGACTGTTAGACATATTTGAAAACGGTTTTAGCAAAAACTATATCATAAAAGGCTAAGAAATACAAGGGAAATAAGAAAGTAAGTAAAACTGATTCTTGAAACAATATGAAAAGTATAAAGATAGGACCTGCAAGAAGAATGGCTACGATAAGTTTTTGTTTGCCTTTTTTTTAAAGAATAGTGATTTCTTGAGTTCAAAGAGAATTCATGGAAAGGGAAACAATAAAGACTCAAGAAATAAAGGGTAAAATTAAAAGTTTGGTTCAACAAACTTACCAAAGGCCTATTCATTGCCAGGCACCATGCTAGACTTTGGGTATGCCTGGTACCTGATCTAGGGCTCAGGAGAGCACAGATAGAGGGGATACCTTTAGAAAAGAGATTAGATTTAGAAAAACCTAGATTATAGACTAGAAATGATACTGATCACATAAGAACCACATATCATTTGCTAAATGTAAATAATCCCATTGCTAATTTGTTTTTGTTTTCTTGTTTTTCTTTTTTGGCTAGGAAGATATTACATCTCTCATTCTATAAACAGGAATATAATAATAGGGAATGATTAAATATCTGGCCAAAGAACCAGAGAATAAACACAATATTTCTATTTCTGGGACCGACTCAAACACACTACTGTGGATCTTCAGCAGACTGCAACACATTTAAAAAACAGTATCTTCCCTTGACCTAGTTTATGGTAGTATGAAAATCCATTTTGGTATAACTATTATTGCTTTTATGCTAATTATGTCCATGACATTTTTAATCAGTTAATTTACCACAATTAGAATCCCAGCCTCTAAGTTCTCTTTAGCAAAACTTGACGACACCCTCTGAATCGTCATTTCTCAGAGTCCACTGGAAGACATGTGAGGTATGTTTAAAGTATAGTGGAAGTCAAGGTCAGAGGTGGCTGTAAGAAATATTCTTATCTTCAGCCTTAACAGAAGCAGAAAACCATGACACTCATGGTGGGCTTCAGACCTTTTGGGGGAAGGGAAATGGCAAACTGGTAGATTATAAAACTACAGCATCCTAAATAAATAAATAAATAAATAAATAAATTTTGAAAACTACAGCATCTAATATAAATCATCCCCTACGCATATAGAAAATCTTGGCTTTGGTCTTTTTATATTTTTAAACAAATGACCCCTGAAGAAAATGCCAATGAGATTTCTTGAGAGGGGAGGGAGATGAGACAGGGATGTACAGACAGCATCCAAAAATTTCAATGATAACTTCTGAGTAAAGGAGTTGTAGTAACAATAAAGGTAGCTAACATTATATAGTTTTTACTAGGTGCTATGATTCTCTAGGTGATTTATTCATATTAGATCATTTAACTCTCATATTACCCCCTCATTTTACAAATGAGGACACCAAGAAAACACAGTGGGAAATCCTGACAACACTGGGTAGGCAAAAGATGAAAGAAAAAAATGATGAATTTCAAAATTTGCTCTTTGAAAGACACCTCTAAGAAAATGAAAAGGTAAGTCACGGACTGGGAAAAGTATGTGCTATGTATAAATATCCAAGAAGGGATTTATATTCAGAATATAAAAAGAATTCTTATAACTCAATAAGATGACAAACAAGTCAGTAAGAAAATGGGCAAAAGATTTGAACAGAAACTTCTC